AAATAATATTAAAATATTAATATTTTATTTATCAGTGGAATTAGTTACAATAGAAAGTTATACGACTAATCCAAGTGGGGGAGAGGAAGAAAAGAGGAAACTTTGGAAGAAAACAATAAGGTTAGAAGGAACCCATGTGCTTTGATGAAATAGAGCACCATCGGGTAAGTATATATTTAAATATTATGGTGACACGCGAATGAGGTGCGAACTTTATATTATATTTATAAACATGTCAAGGAAGGAAGAAGAAGAAAAATTAGAATTTTAAAAGTGATGGAAGGATTCAATAAAAGGAATGAGAACTTAGAAGGGCTAAATGCTGACTTTTCTTTCTCTCATTCTTCTTCCACATGGTCTGTCATCCATGCTATGGTTGTTGGAAAAATTGGTACATGTAGGGAAAGAGAGGATTGGAAAATAATTATAGGGAAAAAGACAAAGAAACCTACATATGTTGACTAGCCAACTCACCTTGAAACTTCTTGAATTTTCTTCATGCTTCCACCCTTTGGCCGGCCAAAAAGGGAGAGACCTTTTCTATTTTTTTTTCTTCTTATCATGTTCAACACTAGAACTTTCTCTTTCCTTTGTCATTAAGCATTCTCTTCTTTCTTTCTTTCACCCACCGTCACTTGCACCTTGTGAAGAAATTCTTCCTCCCAAACCGTGGCTTCACCATAATCAGCCAAACCTCAAGCTTTTTTCTCCATTTTATCCCTTGTTTCTTCCTTTTTATCCTTCCTCTACATGAAGTTCTTTCCTTTTCCTTCCCCATACCTGAAATTATAGTGGATTTGTGAGTTGATTCAAGAGTTCTAAGGTAAGAAAGTAGGAATTTGTTAGTTGTTTGAAGGTGTGTTTGTAAATTAATTTTTAAGGTGTGCTTTAATTGTGGCAGCAAAGGAAATTTAGGTGTGAGAACTGATGCCTTGGAGTGGGAAAAATCCAGCAAAATCCAGGAACTATATACTTGAATGGTAGCAAATTAGCATCCCAAAATTTTAAGGTGAGTAGGGGTGTCTAATTCAAAATATCGTATAAATTGGTATGTATGTACATATGTATTTGTGAATGTGAAATGATTTATTCAATGCAAATTTGTGGAAAGCATGAGCTGGTAGTGATTTTAGGAGTTTGTGAATGCCAAATGTTTTAAAATGGGCTTGACTATACACATATATATACGGTTTATATACGTAAAGGATTTAAAAATCGAGAAGCAAGCTTTTCAATGTTTTGATGTCAAAAGTGTGCCTTGTGAATTTTGTGAAGTGCATTCATAAATAATTTCTTATTCACCCTGCGGATTAGGTATTTAACCCTATGCAAAAAAATTTACATAGCAAGGGGATACAAAAGAGGTTTTAGAAGGTTACCGTGATCGGTGTTTTGCAAACGGTTTGAAACGATCCTTTGAAAACTTGATTTGATTTTTTTTTGAATGATTTTAATGAACAGGGAGATTCGAGAGTAAGCCGGTTGTCATTCCGGTTAATTGTGACCCTTATGCACAAATGAGCTCTAGCTAGAGAACTTTTGGGTAGCCGACGAGTTGTTAGACATGCTAGGGCCAAGGTTTGTGATTTTACATGGCTAGGCCACAAATGATTATATGCAGTTGTGACCACTTGATTTTTCTCTGATGTCAACCAACATCATTGAGATAGCCATGGCATATGGGGATCTGGTGCAATGGAGCTGCCGGATACTATGATGTGGAAACGGGTCCACATGTTGTTATTTTGTACCTACTCGAGAGTGATATTTCTTTTGGTTTTTGTGTAAGTAGTTTTTACACGATGAAAAATATAATTTTCTACTGCTCCCTTGCCTATATGATGAAATTCGATTTAATTCTCTATGTATGAGATGAATTGCATTACGCGTAAGCTTTGTAAATGTTGGATTTTACGGGAGCATGCTTGATGACATTTAATTACTTTAAACCCAATGTTAAGTGATTTTTATGGTAGGAATTTTTCCATGACTTGGGTTGATATTTGATTTAAATGATTATTTAGCATAAATTTACTTATTTTCATATAAGGCACAAACTTCCCTTTTTGAGTAAATTGTTTACATATATTCTTACGTTTTTAAATTTTCAAATCTTCTGCCTTTAGCTTGTTTTTCGTCTACACCCTACTCACGGGGTCGATGATCACTAAATTTGTGAGACTTACCCCACTTTATTTTCTTTTGCAGATAAGTAATCAATTTTAAGATTTTGTTCAGCATCTTGAAGTTAGCTACAATCTAGGTAATGGCATCTCTAGACTTCCACTTAAAGTCGCTCCGCTGCCTAGAGGTTGGTTTGTGTCAAATAGTCTGGCTTGTAATGATTAATAGTTACTGAAAATGTACTGGTTAGAACTTAAGGTTATGTAATGACTACTACATATTATGTTGAAATCGTATGGAATTATCAAACCTTGTTATTAGTATCCATATGCAATGCATCAAATATTGTGATTATTTGGTTTAAATGAACTATGGTGTTGAAATTGTAATTTGAGTTTAAATTGCTTGGAGGTTTAACTAAGGCTTGTTTGAGATTTAGCGGGTTCACTCGCAAGTCTTGAACGCCGGTAACGATCAAGGGAAGAGGTTGTTACATAGAGCATGTCGTGAAGAATCGACATTAGATGAACCTGTAGATTCTCAAGAAAAACAAAAAGGTGCAGATTTTCCAGAATTATGAAGAATCAACACCAAAGGTATAACATGTTGATTTTATAGGTACGACAAACAAAAGTTTTGCTAGCATGAATAGAAAAGAAAAAATTTGGAATTTTATTCCAATAGTCAAAAAATTTCAAGCTTATAAATATTTACCCAAAAGACATCAGAAGAGAGAGGATGGAAAAGAAAAGAATCAGAAGAAAAGGAAAATGATAGGGAAAACAAGAGAAGAATACTTTTGAAAGAGTTGAAAAAGAAAAATCCTTCCTTTATTCTAGTAATGAGCTGACCTTCTCTAAAGATCATACCTTTCCTCATTACAAAAAGTTTTTGAGCTTAGATACTCCTATTTCTAACCTCAATTCTAAGAAAGCTTTCACTTGTAATGCTCCAATTGCTCATCAACCTTCTTTAGACGCATAAAGTTCATACCTTTGTAATCCACTATTGTATTTGGTTATGCCTCCAAGAAATAGTTAATGCTAAAAGTTATACCCTCTTGAAAACATAGTATATTGGTTATAACTCTGAGTAAATGGTAGGTATAGGGGTTTTATGCTTTAATCTTAAAAAGGTAGAGACTTTGTGAAAGGTTTTTTTTTAACCTTGAAAACACAATGACATTGCAAAGTTATGCTTGCTCCTCTCAAAAAGGTAGTGTTTGTGAAAGGTTATGCCTAATCCTTGAAACGCAACTTATAGTAGATTCAAACTCCTTGTGATATCAAGGGAGAGGATGTAGGCATTGAAGTCCAAACCTCTAAAAAAATCATAATTTTATGTTTTTTACTTTTTGGCACTTTCATACTTTGTTATACTCTATTTTTTATTCTATTGTACTTAAGTTTCATTATCTCTTTAATTTGTGAAAAGGAAGGAATTTTTCCTCGATAGCCAATTCAGCCCCTTTTTTGGTTAATATACTTTAAGCTTATGTCAACTGACAATTGGTATCAAAGCAAGTTCCTAAGTTTTACAAGTCTAACAACCTTTGAGAGATCCAAAACAAAAGCTTTAAGTGACAACAATTCCATTTTCAAGCTTAATTGGTGAAGGACAATCCATGATGTGACTTCCTCTATTCAAAGGCAAGAACTACACTTTTTAAAGGATGAGATTTCAAAATTTTATGCAATCTATTGATTTGGATCTGTTGGATAGTATTGTTGATGGACTTCATATTCCTAGAAAAATTGTTGATTATGTGAAACATGTTAAAACAAGAGCAGAATGGGATGACAAGGATAAAAAGTTGACTCTATTGAATCACAAAGTTATGAGACCTATCTTATGTGCTCTTAATGAGAGTGAATTTAATAGGGTAGCTATGTGCACTTCAGCAAAAGAAATTTATGACATATTAGAAAATTGCTATAAAGGCATAACTCAAGTGAAAGAGTCAAAAAACCATTCTTGACTCTTGATTATGAGCTCATTAAGATGAAGGAAGGTGAATCTACTAGGATTTGACCTTATGCTCAAATATGAAAATAATTAAGAAATTAAAAATATAACCTAGTGAAAAAATAAGCTAGTACTTACTCAAAGAAACAACAGAATCTTATAGATCAATGTTTGTGTTTTTCATGTAACTTTCAAATTAATTAGGAACACTAATAAGTTTAAGAGTTACATACCTTGCTCTAGATATCGTAACCAAGAGCCAATTAAATCAAAATCTTTGCTTCTTCACCCTTAAGATTTGTCAAATCTTTAGCCACCTAAGTGTTTGGCCTTTAACAATAATCCACACAGTGACCAAATAAGACCTTCTCAAAGGTAGGATTTTCACTTGTGCTAGCAAGTTTTGTTTCCAAAACAAAAAGATAAAAAGTTCTTGCTGAATCTTTTTTTGTCAGATAAAGAAAACTATTTTTTGTTTCCTATTTTATGAAATGGTTGAGAAGTAGCTAAAGGCTTAAAGTTTTAGTTTGCTAACATAAAATATTTATATAGCCAAACTAAGTTGTAATCCTAAATACAACAGTTGTATTTTAATTTAATTAAGTCTCTATGAACTTAATTAATTTCTCACTTTATTTTCGTTTATTCTAATTAAGTCCAACTTAATTAATTATCCTTATTTAATCCCAATCAGGTCAACTAATGTGTGTACCCATTAGGCTTCCAACATGTTGACAATAAATATAAATCCTAATCAAATATCAATTTGATAATTGATTTATATTTATAGATCATGATCAGCATTTAGCAATACATCATTACAGCCCAAATGTTAGAAAGTTAATTAAAAAAATTTGACAAAGCCCTTCAATAATAAGCTTCTCAATGCAATACGGTCCTTTCATTAAATATCTTTGATATGTTATTAAGCATGGCTCAGTGTCTACGTATGACATTCCATAATAGTTCTCATAATTCATGACTGACCTTATGAATTTAGAAAACTAACTTTCCTCATATTCATCATGCTTTGACTAAAAACTTAACACAAGTTAATCAATAATTGAGAACAAGTGAGATACATCCCCTCATATCACTCGGGGTGATGAATCCTTTCTTGACCATTAATTCACCTTCGCATGCTTCATGGCATACCTTCAAACACCTGTTTAGGCATCTGGTGGCCTCCAAACCCATAAGGGTGAAATCAAAGTATGTCATTCCCCATACAAGATGACTTGGTGTCTCAAGTCTGAGAACTAGTTACACAAATATCACATGAAAACATATTCCATAGACACTTGAGTGAAATACCAAATGGAGTTCTCATAGCAGGTCATGTTTAGTGAACTTGTTCTTTTACAACTACCCACATGTTATCCTCAAGTATCCCATGTACTTCAATCTATGAGATTGATTGCTTACTTCCCAAGTAAGGAGGCTTAACATGTACTAGTCTTTGAGCATTGTCAATGCTCTATCTTGACAATACAATGACCAGGAGCAATTTTAGGAACATGGCTTTGATGTATAGTAATATCATAATTGTAACAACTTTACAATTCTCTTTCAAGGCTTTTATGTTCCATGAGCTTCATCCAATTGGTACTTAATAACTCATTATTGCATTAACATGATGGAAAACCTTTATCACATATAATTAGGCAATTAAATATGCATTAAATGACAATATATATTCCTTGACCAATCTAATTGGCTTAAGGGCATATGCCAACAATCTCCCACTTGCACTTGAGTCAATTGCTAACGTATCCAATATCAAACTTTTTCACTTAGCAATTGTTTCTCTACTAGGACAACTCAAATTGCAATATTTGAGAATATGTTAATTTACATGTTTCACAATCTCCATTGTCATAATCAAAATACTAATTTAGATCATAATGAGACCTTGATTCCATTATTATGGCACTTGTTGTTACTTCAACAACTCAGAATCATTTTTTGGTTCATTAAACCAATGATCCAAATATTTGTTCTTTTGTATCCTAAACAAAAGGTTTGTATCCAATTATAGATATAGTCATACAATTATCTTTTGTTTTCGAACCAATCTAATACAACTGCTCAATCATGACTTTATGTCACTTCTAACATTTAGGATTCTCTCTATGTTAAACTTCTTTAAATGTAATCCTAAATTCTTTTGTTAAGTCCCCTTTTAGGCTCTAACGTTTTAGTCCCATTATAATTTTTTTTTGACAAGCAAATGTATCTTATACACTTTTAATGAGTAACTTATCTTACTCCCACTAACCTTATGATGTGCACAAAATGTGTTTATCTTATTCAACATATTCAACTATTTTGAATTTATTACATTGAATAGAGATTATTATCCAATCATTCATGTTGGATTATTTAGTAGACTCATCTTATATGAGGAGTGCATCAATATACATCCTACTAATTGTTTGTGTTTAGTGGATGAATTATGCATCTTTATGCATCCCATTAAATCAATCTTTGTGCATAGATCTTATCTATTGGATTTTATAATTTCATGACTCTTGACCTTTAAAGTGTCATTAGCTCCCACTTTTTCTCTTATGTGTAGAAATCTTACCAAGTAAACTTATTTACTTTCCTTTGGGGCGTTATATTAATAACTTTTATGTATACTTACAAGTCATTAGTCATTCATCATTGGTTATGGGATGAAATCCTCTCAAAGGTTAGTTTATGCAATTAACTAGGTTTGGAATGCTTTATGATTCATCTCTTATGAATTCAATATGATAATCAATTGTTATTTAGTTCTAAGAAATCTTAATTTAGATCCAAGATTTCATTAAGAATGCTTCTTGACTAAATATGTTTATAATCCTATTATGAATTCATTGAGTTATGACTCAATTTTACATAAGTCAAGTCATTAATTTCCTTTTGGATTCATAATCAAAAGAAAAATAATCTCACAATGATATTATCATTATGACTTAGTATTGATTATCATATACGCAAAGGTATTCTTAAGGATAAACAATTTAGAATAATGCCTGAATAAGATCAGATGTAATGTAAATATATAAATATATATAAGCCAAGCATCTCATGCTAGCAAACTATAAGTCTATGTTTCATAAATATAAAATAAAATATTCAGCCATGGGCTCAAAACCAAAACATCTCATCTTGGCAATCATGTCAT